GGGGGAGTAAGGAGCCCAGTGGAGAAACAGACAACAGTGTGCAGGCCCGGGACAAGGATCCTGAACTTCATGACTGGTTCTGAGGGGAAGCAAAGCGCTTGTGCCTAGCTCCCTGACCAGTGTGGACAGCTCGTCTAGACATGGCAGGCGCCCCTGAGTGTTCAGGCTTAGCAATCTACGTTTCCCAGACTGAACCGATGGTGAGTTTGTGGTAAGTGAAAACACTGAATTCAAGCAGGAACTGGGAAACCCAGAGTGACGTCCTGGCCTGGTCTTCCCTGTGGCGTATCTATTCACTTTTTGGCATACTTTTGAAGACAGAGATTTAATTTTAGCTGGAACTCTTATTCTCCGTTTACATCAAGTAACGCCTTGAAATTTACCAGAGTGAGATGGATCACATTGCCGCTCCCGAAAGATGGGAGGAAGGGAGGGAAATAGGAGTCTGCATGAAGTGATGTGTAATAGAAAGCAAAGAAATGCTTTGTCAGGCTATGGATGGACCAGTGTGACGTTCCCATGGTCCTTTTATCCAAATCAGAATGTATGTGAGAATTAATTCAATATGTTAAGATAATGAATGAAGCAAGAGAAGTTATTGCTTATCTCAATCATTTAGAAACTTTGAAAATTCATCACTTCCTGTTTTGAATATTGCCTGGAAGACTGACATGGAGAAGGCAATAGATTATCATAGTAATTTTGTTTTTTAAATAAGGACACAAGTCAGGTTGCAGACCATGGATGGCCAAATGGGGTCTCTTGGTGCTGTGGGGAATGGGACATAATTTAGAATGTATGCTTGATATACATAACTAAGCCCAGGATGGCCCGTCCTTTTCAGCACATGGGTGCAGATGCATGATTGGCTGAGGGGCACAGTGTTGGAGAGATCCCAGTGGTCAGCTCCCTCGTACCATCACGTTGTCAGTGGCTCTGGAGATGTAGGGGACATGCTGGTAGAACACACACACCAGCTGGAAGAATGATGATTTATCAGAATTGACCACCTCCGGGAAGTAAAACTAAGCCATATTCAAGGGCTGGGGAGACGGATCTGTTGATAAAGTTCTGGCCTTGCAAGAATGAGGACCTGAGTTCAGATCCCAACTGTCATGTAAAAAGCTGGGCACTGGGATGTGTCTCTGTGATCCTGGGACTGGGGACACAGAGACAGGCAGGTGGATCTCTGGAGCTCACTGGCCAGGCAGACGAGCCAAATTAGTGCAGTCTGGGTTCAGTAAGAGACCCTGCCTCAAAAAATAAGATGGAGACAACTGAGGAAGATATTCAACATTGACCTCTGGCCATCATGCACACACATACATACCCCCCCACACACACACACACAGAGCACTGAGACACAGTCTGTTCATTAGTATGTATATTGTGTGTCTTAATTTCTCATCTCATGTTGAGTAAACAGGAAAGAAAGCCCCGACCCTCACAAATGCCACAGACAGCCTTCTGTACAATGTTCCCATTGCTGGAGTCACTTAGCCAATGCATCCCAAGTACATCTACCTGCCCCGCACTTTTCCAGGGGCTCAAGAAATCACAACGAGAAAGACAGCCAAGATGGGTCGGCCCTCAAGGAGCTTGTCTTGGAGGAGGCAGTGTGTAATCAAGTTATCCAATGAATAGGAAGTGCACTTCCTGTTGGTGGCAGGTAGAGACAGAGGATGCCTGGGTTGTGAATGAGTGTGTGTGTGTGTGTGCGCGTGCGTGCGTGCCCACACGCTTAGCTCACTGACAAGTTTCTTCCTCTTTAATTACTGTCTGAAAAGAAGCATCAGTTACACACAGCAAAACACATATGCTGCCCCACCTCCTGCTCACCTGCCTTTATTAACATACCTTGGCAAGCCAGCTTCTTGTTACCTACAAACAGGGATCATTTCAACAGTATTCTTTCAAAAATGCTGTTGTTCAAACCATGCAGTAGTAGTATACGAGGGTTGGATAGACTGCTTTTTTTTTTTTTCTTTTCTTTTAATGTCCAGGGTTGGTGCTTAGAAAGAGTTAGGAAGTTGTTCAAAGTTGTTCAGAATCAAACAATTACAGCCCAGTCTGTGGCACAGCACACACCAGCTTCTACTCTGCCCCAGAACTGGAACGTGTCTCTGTCCCGGGGGCGGGGAATGAAGAAAGCAGGGTCCTCGGCCCTGTTCCTCTGCTCTCCTAAGAAGGCATACTTGTCTTCAGCTCTGTTCCTGGTTTATACACAGGCTCAGCCCTTCTCAGAGAAAGGATTAGCGAATCCTAAAGTGGTACCTCAGACCTGCCTCCACCCTCAGGACAGCTCTGCAGGTGGAAGTGGGGACAGGTCATCTTAGGGACCACATGGTCAAGGACCTTCATTTCCAAACAGATACCTAGAATGCCAGAATTGGGTAGGTGCCAAGCAGGAGCAAGCTTGAGCGGCAAGCAGGAGCTCTGGAGGCTGAGGGCACAGCAGAGGCTATGTTACTATTACAGACAAGGGGTAGCCTATTCTGAGGAGGAGACGGAGGGATCTGGCAGTATGTATGTTCCTGTGTGGAGAGAGGGTTGTTTCAGGCTAAGCAAAGGTTGTACAGAGGTCCTGTGTGAAAGGGACCAGGTGAACTGGAGAAGCTGAGAGAATCTGTGGGGGTCAAAAGACAGGGAACTGGGTTGAAAGTGAGCTTCGCCTGCTTGGGAAGGGGGATGGAACCTGGGTACCCCAGGGCACTAGGCAAGTATATTGGATATTATGCTGAGTATAAGATAGTTTGACAATGATGGAAGCTTCTGGAAGTGAGACAGGCTTTTATCCCTGGCAAAGAAAGAACAGGGAGAGACTATGTTTGGAATGTGTTTGCATCTTGGGCCTTTAGTCTATACCAGGTGGACCCAGGGAGCTGAAAGGCCCGTGTACTGTGGATACACTCAGCACAAAATCAAGGGACCACACTAGGCGGGAAACAGTTGGCCTCCATCTGATGTCTTCATCCCCCTGAAGAATGAGGTTCTGTACTCAGTTGTTTAAGCTTTGCCATGCCAACAGCCTCTTGCTAAGGAAGTAAGTTTGGCTTTCTCCTAACAGCCTACTTTAGCTCAGGCTGCTGTAACAAAAATACGATAGCCCATGTGGTTTAAACAGCAAGTGCTTGTTCATCACATTTATGGGACTGGGGAGGTTGAAGTCTAGGTGTCCAGCAGATCTGGTGTCTGCTACGGACCCACTTTCTGGTCCATAGATGGCCACCTTTTCTTTTTTTCTTTTTCTTTTTCTTTTTTCTTTCTTTCTTTCTTTTTTTTTTTTTGGTTTTTCGAGACAGGGTTTCTCTGTGTAGCTTTGCTCCTTTCCTGGAACTCACTCTGTAGCCCAGGCTGGCCTCAAACTCACAGAGATCTGCCTGGCTCTGCCTCCCAAGTGCTGGGATTAAAGGCATGCGCCACCACCACCTGGCGTGATGGCCACCTTTTCACTGTAGCTTTATGGGACAGAAGGGCAAGGCAGTGGACTGGGAATCCTTCTTTACAGTCTTATCCCTCTGGGGCTCTGTCCTCATTATCAAATCCCCCCCCCCCAGGGCCTAACCTCCTAACACTCACCGTGGATAGTGCCATTTCAACACATGCAGTGAGTGTGCACACAGACGGGCAGACCACACAGTCCTTCACTGGTGTAGGATTCTGACCGTGTACACTTCACA